AGCTTTGTGCCTAACTACAAACAAAACAAATAATAATATATTTTACTCATTACATAACATTTTTGTCTTATAACATTGCATACACTTAATCAGACCGGTATATTAAGTTAACTACATTACTTACTGGATTTATTATTATTATCATTATTTAGTATGCAAGTAGCTTGCTATAATCAGAATTCATTAGTAAGTGTTTTGTAATCCAAAATACTTTATTGAAAAGTTTTTAACACTTTTGGGAAAAACAACAACGATTTGTTCTTCTCAAAGTAACCACTTAAAATAAGTATACTCCCCCCCCCCCAAAAAAAAATGCAACGCTACACTTCAATTATAATTTTCCCATGAGCTTCAGGATCTAATCGAACTGAATTTAACTAAATGACTAATCAGAAGTTTTGGAACTCCCCTCCCCCATACCTTCCCCCTGAAGTTATGTTCTGGGAAAGTGTGGTATCTCGCTTATTTATTGATATGAATATTCCCCTAACTGTTTGGGAAGAAGAGAGTTCTAAGTAGTCTTGAACACAGAGTCTTGTACAAGTGCTCTAAAAGTCATACTTGAACATTGTTTAATGGACTAAAACGTTCACAATGAAAACAACAGCTGTTATATATATATCTTACAAAACTGACTCCAGAATCGCTTTGCTGAACAGTAAAGCGCTACAGGGTCTGTTTACGAGCAAGAGAATTGCTGTCGAATCTGACGTCTCTAGTGTTAACCAAGATATACAGCCATCTTTTAACTAATCCTACGAGTTCTTTAATTACGAAAACGTGCAATCAGATCTGTGCATTTTATTATTATTTAAAATATTCAACATGAAAATGTGGAAAACCGACGAGTTCCGTAAGTTGTGTTATTTTGTTGAATTCAAATTGATTTATAATAATTGTTTGTTTGTTTGTTTTTAAATTCGATGACGAGGAACGCACTTTGAGACTAATAATGGCTGGAGACGGCTTGAATGGGTAGTGAAGAAAAACTTTATATAAGTTTA